CCCCCCCCCAGCTCACACCCCGCGTGCGGCGCTGCTCACCAATCCACTTGTCGTTGTTGTACCAGGACAGGTTGTCCTTGGTGCTGTCGTAGTAGCCAATCTTCTTGTAGACCCCTCCTGCAAGGGCGGCAGAGACGGGTCAGGTTGGAGGGCAGGAGGAGTGACACCCCCACCACCCCCCCTACACACACCCCTCCAGCCTTTGTGGACACCCCCACAGGATCACAGACTGCTTGGGGGTCGGAAGGGACCTCTGGGGGCCACCTGGTCCAACCCCCTGCTCAAGCAGGACCACCCAGAGCCTGCTGTTCACATCCACGCGGCGTTGGGATGTCTCCAGGGACGGAGACTCCACCACCTGCACCGTGAAAAAAGTGGCTCCTGATGCTCACTTGGGGCTTCCTCCGCTCCAGCCCCTTCGTCAGCTTCGCGGCCCTTTGCTGGATGCTCTCCAGTAGCTCTCTTGTACTGGGGAGCCCAGTACCGGCCCCGTCTCTCCAGGGGTGACCTCATCAGTGCTGAGGATCACCACTCGGCCACTCCTCCAGCCCAGAACACCGTTGGCCACCTTTACATCACTGACTCGTGGGCAAGGTGGTGACCACCAGCACCTCCAGGACCTTCTCTGCCAAACTGGTTGACACACACACACCCAGTCTGGAGTTGTCGTCCCTGAAGTTGTCCCTGGAGCACTTCTCCCCTTCTTCAATCGGATGAGGTTCCCCTCAGCCCACTTCTCCAACCTATCGAGGTCCTTCTGGGTGGCAGCACGACGCTCTGGCATCCCCGCCGCTTCCTCCCAGTTTGGTGTCATCAGCAGACTGGCTGAAGGTTGCTCTCTGCCTCAGCATCCGGAGCATTCCTGAAGATGTTGACCAGGACTGGCCCCAGTATTGACCCCTGGGGTACGCCACTGGTGACCGGCCTCCAGCTGGACCTTCTGCCACTGGTCCCCAACCCCTGGACCCGGCCGTTCAGCCGCGTTTTCACCATCTCCTTGTCCAGCCCAGACCTCTTCTGTGAGGATCTTCGGGGAGATGGTGTAGAAACCCCCTCCTGAAGCCGAGGTAGACGATGTCCAATGCTCTGCCCTCATCTACCAAGCCAGTAGAAGGTCACGACGGTCAAACATGGCTTCTCCTTGGTGAATCCACGTTGGCTGCTCATGAAGATTTTCTTGTCCCAAGCTCCTTGCTTGTCCCCCAAACCGCCTCCACCTCTGGACCTCCCTTGGTCACATCCAGAGGACACACTGGCCACGTGGCCAGAAGAACGTGGCGAACGCGGTTGTTCCGTGTGTGCTGCCACCCCTCGAGAGGTTGTGCAGCGGTGGGACGTGTTCCCGGTGCGTGTCTTAGGGTGGTTGCGCAGGCAACACGGCCGCAACGCTGAGCTGCGGCTGTTGTGTGCGCGAAGGGGTGTTGCGGGAGGCTGGGCGGTGGTCACCACGTGCAACGTGGTGACGGCGTCACCCCGATAGGGCGGCTGCCTGTGCTCACTCACCTTGCAGCTGCTCGATGAGCGTCCAGGCCATGCGGGAGCCGCTGGCGTCGAAGACAACGTGTCCCTGTGGGGTGGGATGGAGATGGGTGTTGGCGACCTGTCAGGCGGCAGGACCACGTCCCCGGAGGGGTGTTGGGAAAAACATTCTCTCTGGGAGTTTTGGGGTCGCTCATGGGGGTTACCCTTGAGAGATGCCTTCAAGGTGCCCTCCCCGCCACCTCGAAGGTGGTGTTGGGGACATGGGGGGACCTTGCTGGGGACAGGAGGACACGCTGGGGCCGGGGACTGGCAGGGGCCCAGGTATGGGCGACGCACCGAGACGCCCTCAAAGGCAGAAGAGTTGAGGGCCCGGTAGATCTCGTCGGTGATGTTCTTGTTGTTGTAGTTGAAGTCCTCCAAGCGCAACCCCTTCTTG